CGCCCTGGTGGCGACCCGCGCTGTGCAGAAGTCAGAGGTGGCGGGGCTTCAGCACCTCGGGTGAGGGTTCTGGGGGTTGGGGGGTTCTTGGAGGTCCCCATTTAGCCTGCACCCTGGGGTTCAAGCCAGCGCCCGCTCCGGCCTCCGTGGGACCGGGCCATAGCCGGCCTGACGTTCCGCTCACTGCCCGCAGCCGCGCTGAGCCGCCGCACTGCCCCTTTGGGGCCGATGCCCAATGAGGACATCGATGTGAGCAACCTGGAGCGGCTGGAGAAGTATCGCAGTTTCGACCGCTACCGGCGCCAGGCTGAGCAGGAGGCGCGGGCCCCGCACTGGTGGCGGACCTACCGGGAGCATTTCGGGGAGAAGTCAGGTGCGGGGCGACCGGAGCAGGGGCTGTGGGCGCCAGCCTCGGGACTCGGGACGGGGGTCCCACCGGCGTCCTTCCCGAGCTTTGGCGGGGAGCCAGCCTGTGTCCCCTTGAGCACTGTTAGCGGTGTAGTCCCACCACGATTTTTCACATCTGTCGTCCCCGGTACTTAGAACATTCCCTTCCTCCACTATTAGAGATCTACCTTACATATTTCTACTTCTAAAACCCTTTCTTGACCACTTCCCGCCCCGCCATTCTGAGTTAGAACGACCCTCTACGCTCCTAAAATATTCTGTACATAGCCCTGGCCACACTATCTTGAATCTTTTCCTCGCCTTCCTCCCAGTTGTGAGCTCCCTAGGGAAGCTCACAACTAGGAATCCTGCCAGTCTTGACCATCATTGGATCCTCGCACCCGCATAGTGCCCAGCACATAGATGTACAGTCCTTTGCTGAGTGAAATTGAAAGCTCTGGGGAGGGTGACTCTGGCACCCTGCCCTTGAGCAACTTACAAGTGCATCCTTTGGAAAGCATTTACAGAGGCAGTGTTTATGGTGGTTAAGGGCACAGGCATGGAATCTGCACAGCCTGCTTTAAACCCAAGTCCACGTGACCTTTTGGGAGTGATTTCTCTGAGCTTCAGTTTCTTCAACTATAAAATCAAATAATTGTGCCCGTCACAAAATTGTGAGGATTAAAGAACACAGCCCATTGGAATTCTTAGACTAATGCCGTCTCTGATGAGGGTTCACTGCACGTTACTTATTGTCTAATGCAAAAGGAAAAAGGTGTTGGATTGAAAATTCTCTCAGGCCTGGCTACTCAGTGTGTTCTGGGACCAGCAACACAGGCATTTACTAGGAGCTTGTTAGAGATGCGATTTCAGGCCCCATCTCACCTGCTGAGTCAGAATCTGAATTGTAACAAATTTCCTAGGCAAGCTGTATGATTTGTTCATTAAATGTGAGAGCTGCTTCCTTAAGGCTTTCCAGCTTCAGTTGTTAATTGTACAGAGGACACAGGTCTGTGTCTGTGGCCAGCTATGAACAGACTTGAAGGTGATCCCAACTATAATTCAGAGACCATCTGCCTCTATTTCCCATGACCTAGACAGTGTAACTTGGTTTAGGGATCAGAAAATACAATCTCAAGCTTACCCTGTTTGCTTAGCAACTGGATCCAGTTCAGGTTTGTGAAGCAGACACTGCACAGTATGCTTGTTTTGTGAATTAAAGGGAAAGCTTTAGCAGCAGACGTTGCGCAGGTGAGAGGATTAGGTAGGGACAGGTGGCTTTACCAAGACATGATCCCACTTTCTCCAACACATCTTCCCTCCCAGATCCCAAAGACAACATTGACATTGGGCTGCCTCCACCTAAGATCTGTCGGACCCAACAGTTGCTGGAGCGAAAACAGGTCCTCTGGGAGCTGCGGTCCAATGTGGAGGAGGAGCGAGCCGCCCGCCTCCACACAGGTAGGCCCTCCCAGGGGAGAGGGCCCGGCGTGTCCCTGCCCCCACTGTGCATCCCAGTGGCATTATTCCTTCCCAGTGCGGATCCCGCTGGAGGCTGTGCGGGCTGAGTGGGAGAAGACCTGTGGCCCCTACCACAAGCAGCGTCTGGCAGAGTACTATGGCCTCTACCGAGACCTGTTCCACGGTGCCACCTTTGTGCCCCGAGTTCCCCTGCACGTGGCCTATGCCGTGGGTGAGGAAGACTTGATGCCTGTGTACTATGGCAATGAGGTCACTCCAACTGAGGTAATTGCGGGCTTGCACCCTTCCCTGCCCCAGACACATCCCACTGCAGGGCCGAGGACTGCTCCTTTTTGAAAGATTCGTCGAGGTGGTTAAGGAGGCACGAGCACGATGTCGTCATGGCCTGTTCAGAGTTTTGTTGGTGCATGTCTCCTCTTTTAGATTTCCTGGTAAACAAAACCATGATAATTACCAAAAAAAAAAGGAGGAACCGAATGAAAGAAAAAGCTCCGTCTTGGCATGCTCCAGTGACTGGTCTGCTGTCCTCAGAGTGCCCTCCTGGCCCCTGTCCATTGACACGTGGGCCTCCTTGTGTCTCAGATCTCTGGAGAGGCAGCTCTGCCGGGCGGGCTCCTTCTATGAGTTTCTCTTTGCCAGCCTGCCTCTCGGGTTGTTTAGGTCAGAGTGGGCTCTCCCTTCTCCAAGGCTGCCTCAGGTTCCTGCTCTCCAGGAAGAAGGTGCTTATAACACGTTGTCTGTCCCTGGTAAGGGTGACAGCTCCCCCATTCTCTCCCTGTCAGGCTGCCCATGCTCCAGAGGTGACTTATGAGGCAGACAAGGGCTCCATGTGGACACTGCTGCTCACCAACTTGGGTAGGTATCTAGGGTTCGCTAGGCCTCCCTCCCTCCCATGAGCCAGGGAGCTGGGGGAAGGGCCAGGTGAAGAGCTCCAGCCCCTGCTTCTTCCAAGGGAACGGGTGGCAGACGGTGGCAGGGCCTTCACTCAATGGGTCTGTTTGTGTGCAGATGGACACCTGCTGGAGCCGGATGCCGAGTATGTCCACTGGCTGGTGTGAGTACCTGGGGTGGGGCAGTGGGTCAGAGGCATGCACGGAGGCCGTGGAATCCTGGAAAGAGCTACACCTGAATCTCAGTTTGGGCTTCACCATGGATTAACAGTGGGACTTCGGATTAACCATCCACCATAGGAGGTGGCCCCTCACCTCTGCTTCCTGAGGGTGTCAGGGGCCCTGTGATCCACGGACTGAAGACAGAGACAGAAGAAAAGCAGGCCACGGGCCTGGGCTGCTCCCACAGGCCTGTTGGTCTCCCTGAACTCATTTCCTCACTTGTAAAACTACAATGGTGCCTCAATGTTCCTTAACCACCCTGAGGGGCTCTGTGATAATCAAATGGGAAAGTGACCATGAGAGGCCTCTGGCAGCTGTGACATGCCCAGGCTGTTTTCTTGGTGGCCTTTGGCTCTGAGCACCAGGCCAGGGGGCAGAAGTCAAGCAGGTGACCCCAGCTTTGGGACCTCTAGGTAATCGGGGCCGGTGACTGGGAGACTGGTTTCTCTCCTTCTTATTCAGCTGCAGTTCCCAGCCTGTGTAGCAGGACCGTCTGGGGCTGCCTCTCGAGGCAGGTCAGTGGCCATCCTGGCGCCAGGCTAGGCAGACCACACAGCTTCAGGAAATGGAGAGAGAAGCAGCTCAAAGGTTGCGTGGTCTCCAGTCTTAATGGCTGTGGCAGCCTCACCAGCTCCCCAGGGCCTAGCGAACAGGCTGCTCAGCCTTACTCTCATCCTGACAGCCTCTGAGACCCTTGGCCTCGGCCTCTGAACCCCAAGGCTTCACAGAACTCCACCTCCTACTTGACTGTACGATAGCGATCTCAGGAGTTATATCAGTCTCCAGGGAGAACGTGGCTGGGGATGCTCCTGCTGCCACCTCCCTCGAGTGGCAATTAACAGGTTATTTTTTATCCCACCAGAACCAATATCCCAGGCAACAGGGTGGCTGAAGGACAGGAGACGTGTCCCTACCTGCCCCCCTTCCCTGCCCGCGGCTCCGGCTTCCACCGCTTTGCCTTCCTGCTCTTCAGGCAGGACAAGCCAATCGACTTTTCTGGGGACACCCGGCCCTCACCCTGGTAATCCACACCCTCCACACGTCACTGCCACCATCACCCCGCCTCAGGCCTGCTTCCCAGGAAGGGGTGGTCTTGCTCAGTCCCCCTCCCTCTTAACTCAGGCTTCAAGGCGGGCAGAACAGTAGTTGTGCTAGGCAGATCCTAAGGGGCTTCTCAGGCTTGCCCGTGGGGCTGGAGGTGAGCTGTGGGCCTCTGGTGCCCCACTCCCTACTCTCCAGTGCTCCCCATCTTCTTACAGTTACCAGCTTGCCCAGCGGACCTTCCACACTTTTGATTTCTACAAGAAACACCAAGAAGCCATGACTCCAGCTGGCCTGGCCTTCTTCCAGTGCCGCTGGGATGACTCAGTCACCCACACCTTCCACCAGCTTCTGGGTAAGGGCAAAGTGGGCTGGAGGAGCGGGGCGCTGGCCTGAGCTCACAGACCTCTCTGGGCCTGACAGGCGGTTCTCCCTGGCCACAAGGGGTCGGCCATTCCTCCAGCGGGTTGGCTGGGTCGTCCCAGCCTAGAGACAGGAAGAGGGGCTCAGGCCAACAGCAGCCCACACCCACACCCCGTCACTCTTCTTGCAGACATGCGGGAGCCCGTGTTTGAGTTTGTGCGGCCGCCCCCTTACCACCCCAAGCAGAAGCGCTTCCCCCACCGGCAGCCTCTGCGCTACCTGGACCGGTACAGGGACAGTCACGAACCCACCTATGGCATCTACTGAGTGGCCAGAGTGCCACCCACCTCAGAGAGTGGGCTGGGCCTTCCAGGCCCCGCCTGAGGCAGCCCCTCTGCAGCCCGCCCAGCAGGCCAGGGCCTGGGAGTGAAGAGGCTCTCTCCAGGGGTGGCGGCAGGGGTGTGTGTGTGTGAATAAAGATGATTTTTGCTATAGCTGGCCTGGCTCTGTTCCGGGAGCCTACAGACGCCCCCATCCCCCTGCCAAAGTTATACTGCTTCATGGGTAGGAAGACGGCTGCCCCCCACCCCAGGAAATGGCCCGTCACCTCTGCCTCCTGAGGGTGTCAGGGGTCCTGTGATCCTGTGGCTGAAGACAGGTACAGAAGAAGAAAAGCAGTCCATGGCCTTGGCTGCTCCCACAGCCCCGAGCATCAGTCCCTTGCTGGCTGTTCGCAGTGTGCTGCGGGCTCCTGGCCGGGGCCAGCGGATGCTCTGAATAAGGGGGCCTGTCAGATGGGCGTCCGCAGGCCTCACACCTCTGGGCACAACCCTGCTGGGAGCCCAGAAAGCCCTTTGTCCTTCACTGGATAGTTAGGGTATTTCTTTCTCCCCCCTGAGGTAAAGACTGCCCAGTAGCCAGTCACGAGATTTGTGCACCTTTTCCAGGGAAAGAAACGACATGTTTACAACACAAGGCATGGTGCAGCAGCCCAGCGAGAGGGCATCCTGCCTCAAAATTAGGCTGGCTTGTTTAGAAAGAGTTAACCCTCCAGCTGGTCCTGGCCCAACACACTGCCCCATGGGTGGGTTAGTGATCCAGAGCCCTCTGCTCAGCTGCTAGAGAGTCACCGCTTTCCAGAACAGCCTAGACCTGCAAACAAGGAACTCGCCAGCAGAGGGCGGGCACGGGAGGGCATCTGGACTCCAAGTGCCGCTCTCGGGTTTCCATTAAGGGATATGAAAAACACGACTGGTTTGTCTCTTGGTGACCAGAAATGCCCACCTCACTGTTTCTGCCTGGCCTAGAGAAGGGAGACACCCCGATCTGACAAATGCCTGAGACTCAGCTCAAGGAGGAAGTGCAGCAGAGCAGCTTGGGTCGGGAGAACGCATTTAATGAGTACTAGCTGTGTGGCCCCTGCTCTCATCGCCAGGTACCCGCAGTGCACTGTCTCATGTAATCGCCGGAACCGGGGGTGGTAGATGCCGATGTTATTAGGTTTCAGATGAGGGGTCCAGAAAAGGTTCCGTGATGGCTCTCAGCCAAGGGGAGGGCCGGCCCGGTGCGGTTCCTGTCTCTAGAGGCCGCGACCAAATCCCCTGCACGGGAGCTGCTGGACTGAGGGTCTGGGAAAGCGGAATGGGGGTCACAAGGTGGAACCAGAAGGCCAGATCTCACCTCTCAGCCCGGGGTGGCTCGAGGCCTACATGGAGGCGGGAGGCCGTGGGCGCAGCATGGGCGGAGACGCAGGGGTGGACTGGGCGCGCGGCTGCTGAGGTTCCTCAGATAAGGGCTGTCACGCCTGTCTCCCCATGCAGGCCTGCGCTCCTCCCCGCCGCACCTGCCGGGCTCACGGTCCCTTTAAGAGGCCGGGACATTCCGCGGCGCGGCTCGGGTCCGCCCTCCGCCCGCAGCCAACATGGCCACGTCGCTGCTGGAGGATAAGCTGACCTGTTCCATCTGCCTGGGACTCTACCAGGACCCGGTGACCCTGCCCTGTGGCCACAACTTCTGCGGGGCCTGCATCCGGGACTGGTGGGGCGGCTGCGAGAAGGCGTGCCCCGAGTGCCGGGAGCCCTTCCGCGACGGCGCCGAGCTGCGCCGCAATGTGGCGCTCAGCGGAGTCCTGGAGGTGGTGCGCGCCGGGCCCGGCCCCAGCCCGGACCCCAGCGCGTGCTGCCCCCAGCACGGGCGGCCGCTCGAAGTCTTCTGCCGCACCGAGGGCCGCTGCGTGTGCAGCGCGTGCACCATGAGCGAGTGTCGCCTCCACGAGTGGGTGCTGCTGGACGCTGAGCGCCGGGAGCGCGAGGTGACACGCGCGGGGCGCCCCGCCCTGCTCTCCACTGCGCGGGCAGCTTCGGCAGGAGGCGGCTTTGGGGTGTTCTTAATTCCGAGATAAAAAGAAGTGATGGTCAGAAATAGATATTTCAAATTGAGATTTCAGAGCTGGGGACGGGCCAGGGCGAGGTCAGGGAAGAGTTCATAAGATGGAGTGAAGCAAAGGGCTCTGCTGGTGGCATGAACACCCAGCACTAAGCATGAGATTTCGCAGTGGAGCCAGTAGATGACAGCAACAGGGAGGCGGGACAGGTGATACAACCAGAACCAGATGTCGCAGGCGCCGACAAAGCGGGGATTTTGCTAGAGAGAGAGGAAGTGCAGTGCAACTGCGTGGGGTATGAGAGGGCAGATGCAAGTCCTTCGGGGGGAGTCGAGGTGACCAGGAAGGTCAGCCCTCCTACTTCCTACATAGGGCCTGGACAGAGGCGGAGCACTGGAACTAGGAAAATCTGATGACTTTGGCCAAACTATCAACATCTCACTCATTTCCTGGACTGTGAAGTGGGGATAACAGCAGCCCTTACTGCAAGCGTTTCTGGGAGGAGAAGAAGCAAGACAGACTCTTGATCAGGACTAGGGAACCAGGTCCTAGCGGGAATGGGGCAGGAGACCACAACGTTTTGATCCGCAAGGGGACCAGAGGTGGCACAACCAGATAGGGATGCCCTCTTCCTCTGGTGCCCAAAGCTGGGGCTGAGAACTGGCCAGGCATTTGGAAGAGCCCATCTTATACATGCACTGCACAGCCCACTCATCAAACAGCTTTGGTGCTTTGGGCCATCACCCCTTCCCTGCAAGGCCACCTAAGCCAGAAATATTGCTCCCATTTACTGACTAGGGGTACTGGGGTGGGGTTACAGCCCAGAGAGGGCGGGTGCTCTGCCCCAGGTTGCTCAGATTGCAAGACAGGCTGGAAGTCAGGTGTTCAGCCCAAGGCTTCTGCTGTGCCCATGCACTGTCCTGTTCCAGGTGGGCAAGGGGCTCTGTGCCAGCCCACCGGTCACCCTTGCCTGGGGCGGCACAAGGAGGGGTTGCCCAGCATCTACAGGTGTTTGTGGGTTGAATGAGGGGGACTTCACAACCAATCCTCGCCCCCTCTTGTCACTCATCCCCCGTCCCCCCGTGGGCACCACAGGCTCGGCTGAGAGCCATGCTGGAAGTCACCCAGCAGCAGGCCACCCAGGCGAAGAGCCAGCTACAGGAGCTGCAGCAGCAAAGCAGCCAGATCCAGGTACAGGCGTGTCTGTCCCACCCCGCCATGTCTTCGTGTTGTGTCCTTCAGGCATCCGCCAGCTTGTCCCTGGAACACTGGGCAGTAGATGTGAGCTACCTTGGAAATGCTCCTTGGCATCATGGAGTGAGGGGCTGCGCAGGGGGAAGAGGTTCCAGGGATCCTGGCTCCTGGCATCCCCATCCTTCAGCTCCATGGGCAGCTGTGGCCCTGGCCTGCCTTGGTGTGGGGCAGGGCCCTGGCCACCCTAGGCTTTTCCTGTGCCCACCCAGAACTCAATCTGCACCCTGGCTTCCATGGTCTCTGCCAAGTTCAGCTGCCTGCTGCAGGCCTTGGAGATGCGTCGGATATCGGCACTGAGGGACATCGAAGTGGCCAAGACACAGGCTCTGGCGCAGGCCCGGGACGAGGAGCAGCGAATCCAGGGCCACCTGGAGGCTGTGGTTCATTCTGACCGCAGGATCCGGGACCTCCTGGAGCATTCGGATGACCAAACATTTTTCCAGGTACCAGGCCTCAGGGCAGCAGGCTGGGGGACCAGCATGCCTGCCTCTTGTGCCAAAGCTTATTGCAGCTGTCCCTGGGACTCAGGAATCACAGCTCCTCGTGCCCCCGGGGCCACTCGGGCCACTGACTCCCCCACAGTGGGATGAGGATCAGCAGCTGGGTGGCCTGAAGGAGTCCCTGAGCCAGCTTTGTGACCTTCTCCTGGACAAGGAGGGCCCCCCCGAAGCACTAGCTGAGGCAGCTGACTTGGGTCCCATGGGTAAGGCGGATTCTGTATCTCTCCCTACCCCTTGGGGTCCAGCTGTCCCTCCCACTGGGGATGGGGGTGGAGTCAGGGCCCAGCCCTCCATGAGCTCCCCTCCCCATCACTTCCTAACACTGCTTTGCCCTTAGAGGCCCCAGGTCCCCGGGCACCCGTCCTGAGCCTGATTTGTCCACTGAGGAGGAAACTTTGGCAGAGTAAGGAGGCCCGACGCGTGTATGTTCACCCGTGTGTGCGTATGAGTGCATCATTACATGCGTGGGTGCATGTGTGAATGCACGTGCACTGCGAGCACATGGGCATGTATACTCCTGCATGTTCGTGTGCATGTGTGAGTATGTGTGTGTGGCATGTGCTGTGACCATCCCTGGGTCTGGCCTCACCCCACTGCATACCCACTGCAGGACACACACCTCTTACACACGGATCCAGTATAGTGTTTAACGAGGGTCTGGGCGCACAAACTTGGGGTCAATCATAGTTCTCCCAGTTACTATCAAGTTAGGTTGCCTTTCTGGACCTCAGTTTTCTCATCTGTGGAAAGAGGCGTGTGGAAGGTCCCACGTCGGGTTACTGCGAGGACTGACCGCCGTGACGACATCCACTGCCCGCCCAGGTTGCAGCATCCTGTGCCTGGCATCCTGTCAGCGGGGCTCCCGTTGCCGCCTTCCCCTTTGGGAACAAGGGGGGTGCACGTGCGCAGACACCCCGCCCTCTTACCTTCGGTCCATCTCTCCCCAACAGATTACCGAAACCTGACCTTTGATCCGGACAGCGCCAACCGCCACCTCTACCTGTCTCGGCAGGACCAGCAGGTGAAGCACTGTCTCAAGCCGCGGGGCCCGGCCAAGCCAGGCAGCTTCGAGCTCTGGCAGGTGCAGTGTGCCCAGAGCTTCCAGTCCGGGCGGCACTACTGGGAGGTGCGCACGTCCAACCACTCGGTGACCCTGGGCGTCGCCTACCCAGAACTGACGCGGCTCAGGCAGGGACCCCACACAGACAACATCGGCCGGGGGCCCCACTCCTGGGGGCTCTGCATTCAGGAGGAAGGCGCCCAGGCCTGGCACAACGGGGAGGCCCGGCGCCTCCCGGCGGTGTCGGGGAAGCTCCTGGGCGTGGACTTGGACCTGGTCTCTGGCTGCCTCACCTTCTACAGCCTGGAGCCCGAGGCCCAGCTCCTGCACACCTTCCATGCCATCTTCACCCGGCCCCTCTACCCCATCTTCTGGCTCCTAGAGGGTAGGACCTTGACCCTTTGCCATCGGCCTGAGGCCAAACCCTATTCAGGTCTCCAGGAAGAGGCTTCGGGTCTCAGCTGAGGAGGGCACAGGATGGAACTCTGGGCTAGGGACAGGTGCCACCATGCCTGTGTGCCCAAGAGCTGCCCCACCCCCTGGCCTAGGGACCCGAGGCCCAGCTATATATAATGAATGGGTCCAGCTCTTGGCTAGAAGACTAACTCAGGACCAGGCTGGGCCACTTACTGGAGTTTACTTTCCCAGCCTCTTTGAAAGGGACAGGGACTAGGTACGGAGTGAAATGAGAGGCCCCCGTCCCAGGCGGAACTCAGTTCCAGGTCTGCCTGGGCCTCAGAGGCTAGTGCAGCATCCAGGGGCTCCTGGTCCTCCAAGCGAGCATGCGCAGTGTGCTTTGCGTGCAGTGCGCTTCACACACTCCAGAGTGTGCAGCAAAATAGCGCACTTCTCAGCTCCAGCGAGCCTCCCCCGAGCCAGCGGAGGCCGCAGGGGCAGCGGCGGGAGGCCGACTGCAAACGATTCCTAGAGAAAAGCGATTTTTACCTCCGCCCTTCCTTTTCGCCTTCACCTTTTGATATTTGAGTCTTTTCTGTTTCGCACATCCTTGCGATTGCATTTCATCAACAGTGTGTTGTCTACATTTTTCTCCGCCATAAGCATTTTCCACATTGTTAAATTCTTTTCCCTGAATGATTACTATATAGACGGTCGTTCTCATGACTATGGAGATTTATTTACCAATTATCGGACATTCAAACTGTTTTACTTGGGGCTGTAAAAATATTGCCGTGATGATGATTTTTGCGCAGGAAGCTTTGGCTCTATTTGCATCCACGTCCGTAGGCTCATAGACCGAATGACCTAAAGTGGGATTGCTCGACAGAAAAACAGCCCTTGCAGATTTTATTTTTTTACAAAAGACAAAAATGAAGCAACCTTGAGTCAAGTTGTTCCCCAGCCCCCTGGCCCTCCATCACACCGGCCCCGTTGTCGAGGCACAGCCTTGGTCCGTCATCCCTCCCAGGTGTGGGGATTTTGCACAGAGATGTTCATGGCTGCCAGGACAGCTCGAGGTACTTCGACTTTGGCTTCTGCTGTTCAGAACGTGCTTCCACGAAAATCCCCACACATGTTTTTTTGTGTGTGTTTCTGGAAGTGGGGCTGCTGGGTCATAGGGCAGCTGTAATCTTGTTACTGGGTCATAGGGCAGCTGTAATACTTCTTGATCTGGGTGGTTTTAAGGGAGTTCGCTTTATAACTTTTTATTCTGTACGTAATGGTTTTATATTTTCATATGTATATGTATGCATATATTTCACAATAAAAGTTTTTAAAAAGGATAACATGCAAAAACACAAACTCAAAAAGGAAATATTTTTATATTTGTAGAACATAGATTTCCCTCCCACGTTGTAACCTGGCCTTGGCCGCTGCCACGGTTGCAAACTCTGTCTTGTGGCCTTGCCCCTCAGCAATGTGGCTTTCTCTTCAAGGACAGGGCCATGTCTCTGATTGGTGCAGCCTAGGCGAGGAGGTTCTGGTAAGGATCCTAAGGCGGGGAGTTCCCCAAACATGGGTGGGGAGGTGGAGGGGTTCTAAGACTGGGCAGCCCAGCAGAGTGACAGGAGGCAGTCGGTAGCTCGCTGAACAGCTGGGTTAAGGGCAGGAGCTGAAAGGCCCAACGGGGCAGGAAACAAGATTGGGCTGGCCGGGTGGCCATCACTGCTGGCTGTCCCAACATACAGATTCCAACCATCCCTCCTATTCCCAAAGCCCCAACACACGTGTCCAACTGGCCGAGCCCACACTCTGAAAAGGGCAGAGAAAGGAAGATGGGCCCCCTTTCCACATCCATGGCAGGAAGTGTTTTGGGTCATTTATATTATGAATTTACTTTTTTTTTTTTATCTGTTGGGCCTTTCCACATTGCCCTGTGGGAGTGTTCTGGATTGTGACTATCTAGGAAAAATGCATTGATATAAAGGGAAAAAGCAGCATGGACTTAAGGATGTAACATTTGAATAGCCTAGGGGTGTTTCCAGCATTTCCGCCCCACCCCTCACAGTTTCTGGGCTTCTGTGAGACAGAATCAGGAGGATGGGCACACAGAACAGAGGCAGGGGCGAGCAGGAGAGATTTTAAAAGACAGGGGCCTCAGGGGGCAGTAGAATTGGAGGGAGTTGGGTTGGAGGCCAGAGCGGCGAGGGCGTAGAGAGAGGAAGAGGCTGCTCCTCCCCAAGCAGGAAGAGAAGGAAGGGAGCCGCACAACGGCCATAGATTTGAAATGTGGCTTCAAGTAACGTGGGACTGGAAGCTAGAAGACAATGAAGCCAGGCCTTTGAGATGCTGAGGAGAAAGGACTTCCATTCTAGAATCCCATACCCAGCCAAACCGTCAATCAAGGATGAAGCCTGAACAAAGGCTTTTGCAGGCACTTCCACATCCATTCTCGAGATGCTCCCAGAGAGGACTTTTCAAAAAAAAAATAAAGAAGTAAATCAGTAAAAGGAAAGGTAGACCTGGGAGCCAAGTGACGGAATTCAACACAGAAGAGAAGTGATAAGGAATCTAAATCTCCAGAGATGGGAGCAGCACATCCCTGCAGAGGTCCAAGGCTCATGAGCACGTGTTAGACAGACAGACAGGTAACTGCTAACAGTTAAGAGTTGGAACTGGTTGTCCGTGGGGCAAGAATCTGGGGAGGCGGGACACAAGATGGCCGGGTTTTATTATTATAAACCTTATTACATAGTTTGCTTTTTAAATACTCTAAGTATATTATCTTGAAATAAGTACAAATCGAATTTTTAAAAGTTCCTCAAAAGTATAAAGAAAAACGCCACCGTGAGACAGGTTTTGGATCCCGCTGAAGTTTCTTTCAGAGATGCAGGCAAACCTAGGATGGCTTGTTACTGTCACTGGCTGGACTGCTTTTGCTTGTCTGTTTCATTTCTGTTTGAGTTTTTTTCTTTTTCTTTTTTTTTTTTAATTAAGCAATGCTGCAGCCAGACAGGGTCATATATGAGATTTAAGATTATTTTCAGGTTGCATCTTCTGGGTTTAAATTTTTCCTCCTCTGCAGAACTAGTTAGTTATATGACCTCCAGCAAGATCTGGAACCTGTTGAAATTCTATTTTCCACCCTTCACAACCCAGTCCTTGTAAGAGTAGAGTGAGGTGCAGGCATGAACATGCTCCAGCAGAGCTCAGAACACCACTTACCCTTTCTTCTTAAGAGCCAGTTCATTTAATGAAGAATTAATATAATGAGTAACAACTTTAAAACTATAATAATGAAAGTGAAATATCGAAATGCCACTAACCTGACAGATCACATCTCCATGCTTTTCTGGGGAAGCAGATCTTCTTGAGCACGTCCCACCCTCGAGTACCCCCTAACCCAAGAGGCACCCCTCTCCCCTCCAGAATCAGACAGGTCTGTGGTCTCAGCAAGCCCAGGCAGCCCGGCTGCCAAGCTGGGGAGCAGGATGGTGCTGACGCCTGAGCCTCTGAGCCCTTCATGGGTCTTGGCAAATAAGGGACAGTAAGGATCAAGTATTCCTTGTGGAAACCAACAAACGTATGGAACTCATTACCGGCCTTCCTGCCAAACGGGGCACACCCAGGCCATCTCCCTCTGCTACTCCTTCTGCCGGGAAGATCTCTTCCCGCCCTAGATGCTGCATGTCTGAGTCCTAGCAATCCATGAAAGCCCAGCTCAAATGCCACTTCCTCCACAAGGGCCTCCATGATTCTCCCCCTCCTTTCCCACAATTCTCCTAAGAGTGGGTCATACCTCTCCTTTAGTATTTCATAGATCTTAGTTTTCTTCCCTTCTTCCAGGGCAGACGTCAAGAGGCTCTGCATAGCATCTCTCTAAATTAGACATTCTTAACCTGGAGTCTTGGGTGCGGGGGGAATTCTATCTTTATTTTCATTGTTCTCTAGCTGAAATTTAGCATTTCTTTAGGAATTGAGCGAACACACCATACACCACGGTGCTATTAACAATACCTGTGACTTGTCACCAATAGATATTTTCATAGCGTGTTACAGTGGTGACAGATAACTTGAAATAACACTTATGTTCATCATTCTTTCAAAAATACAGTAATCGTTAGGCCCCTCATCAAATCTTGATATTTATTGGATTAAAGAAACACATATATACTTTATCACAAATTTGTTTTCTTAATATTTTCTGTCTGTAACTTTAAGGTAATGGGTTTCCATGGAATCCTGCGCATTTTATCTTATGCATTTAAAAGCATTACTTTGAAAAGGGTTCTGTAGGCTGCATCAGGCTTTGAGAGGGGCCCTGGTTTGGCAAAAATGGTGAAGCCCCACCTCTAGGTGGATCACCCCTCTCACCTCTGTATCTTTCCATTTTGAGGTC